CAGCCCCATTCTCTTCTTTCTCCCTTCCTCCTGTCCGCCTGTCCTTACTTGCTTGTTGCACTGGAGATATCTCATTATATATCCCAGTCCAGACTTGAACTCACAACCCTCCTGTTTCATCCTCTTGAGGGCCGGGTTTATGTACCATCATGCCTAGCAGGTTATTATCTATTACAAGATATTCATCGTATGAAAGCATCAGCATTCTCTTTTTGTCTTGGATTTAATTTATATACGCGCCTATGCATCTGCCATGTATATGTGCGTGTGCCCGTGGAAGCCGGAAGCCAGATGATCCCCTGGAGTTACATTGGTCATGAGTGGCCTGACATGGGGGCTGGGGCGTGGGCACCCTTCCTCTGGAAGCAAGCACAAAGTAGCAAGTTTCTAACTAAGTACTCTAACTAGACAAGGCCTCCCCTCAACACTCGCCTCATCTTGGGTTGGAATGTGCAGGATGGATAAGTGAAATTCTTTACCTGTTTTCTGTCCTTCAGATCACATTCCAATCTAGTTTCATTTTAACTATTTCCAAATGCCTGAAAGTGGCTCCCTAGCAGCCCCAAGGGAGGAGTGGTAGCAGGCAGCTAGCATTGGGTGTGGGTTTCAGTTATGCCGCATTCAAGCTGTAAGGCTCACCCTCCCTCTCTCTCACTGTATATTCTGTCAATAGTGGCCCCATTTTTATTTATTTACAGAGTACTTTTATAAATGTGAGTTCTTTTGGTCTTCTAAACGAGTGCTTTCCTAAAGAGGTTTTACAGGTCCCAGTGGTGTTGAAAAGAAATACTCAACTCTGGTATTTTAATTATTGCTTCCCCCTTACTATTATCTATGAAGTAGAACTCATGTCACAATAAGACACTTATTTGTAATATGCCTGTGTAGAGGTGAGTGAACAGTATTTGTTTTGATGACTGTCACTGCCACCACCTCAGTGTTGACGGGCAAGGCCAGGGACCCGCCCACATAAAAAATGCAGATGCCAGGGACCCACCCACTTAGGTCGAGCAAGTTTTTAAGTTCTGAGGCCTAGAAATCTGTTTTTTTTCTTCCTCTCTTTACCTTTTAAAGGCAAGCATAGCGAGTGCTTCCAGGGCACATGAATGCTGGAGAGGATGTTTTCAAGCTAGAAAATAAGGATGGTCTCCACTGTAGAGACAAGCAAAAGGTCCAGAAAAAGGAGGAAACTTAAACGTGTGGTTTACAGCGAGAGACGTGAGACTCCAGGGGCAGGGTTACTAAACCCCATGCGTGTGTGAGGTTCTCGACAGGGCCCTGGGCTCAGAACTTCTGGACACCTGGGCATCATGACTCCTGGCTTCAGTGTTAGGTGAAGAACCAGCCCGAGGTACTTTCTCCACATCTGGAATCAAGAGAAAGGCCAGAGGGAGGCTCTTCAAAGGACATGTCCTTTGCTTTCTCTTCTTTGGGATTTTAAAGATTAAATTCAAGATGACTGAACACTGAGGTCAACAAGGCACCATCAGCTTGGCATAAACATTGGCTTTCAAGGGTTTTGACTGAGTGGGATCCCGCCCTCAGGTGAATAAGGACTCATTGTTCTCCTGTGCCCATCATTCCCTAGTTCACCAGAAAGCCTGGTTCAAACAGCAGGACAGCGCAGGGATGAACTGCTTCAGGAAACCTGATTCTAATTCATGTGGGCCTGTGATCCTCCAGGCTGCAGACACACGTATATCGCCGGACACGAGCCCACAGCCATCAGTCAGCAATCTTGACTGATACCTCTTCAAGCTGTGAGCAGTGTTTATCCCTTCAGTCAGCAAAGATTGCACTTAGTTGGCCCTTGGTCTTAGAACCCGGACAGTGGCACCTGTTTGGTAGTTGCTTTAGTGGGAAGGACAGCACATAGGTGACTTCAAGGGGTTTCCTTTAATAGGAAAGACTTCGGTCAGCACCCTAGCTGACCACCAGTGCTGTCTGTCTATCCATCCATCCACCCATCTACCCACCCATTCATCCATCTATTTATCCATCCATCCACCCATCCATCTTTCTCTCAATCTATCATCTATCCATCTATCAATCTATCCATCTATCCATCTATCTATTTGTCCATCCATCCATCCATCCATCCATCCATCCATCCATCCATCCACCCATCTTTCTCAATCTATCATCTATCCATCTATCAATCTATCCATCCATCTATCATGTATTTGTCTGTCTATCTATCTATCTATCTATCTATCTATCTATCTATCTATCTATCT